TTAACGCAGCATTTCTCAAACTGGGTGCTGAGGCAGCCTGAGGTGTCCTGAGCGTATGCCAGGGCTGCCGCGTAATAAAGAAAAGTCGGCTAAAAATGTGAAATAATGAAGAAGGCATGTAGATACTTAAAAGATAAAATTTAAGTTGTCTTTCCTTGCCACTGTCGAAAATAGTTTATATCTTGTTTTAGAACCGCTGCGTTACCGCATCGTTAGCCTGACGCGGTGACGTCAGCAGCACGGCCCGTCAGCTGGAGCCGGTCATGGCCAGAGCTTCTAACACTGCACACACATTTAGATACTGGGTGTAACACACAACCCCCCTAGAGAGTGACGAAACCTATGCTATGTCACAGGCCGTCTCTTTCTCGGATTAAAAACGTAAATGCAAGGCAACAAGACACTGCGACACCCATACCTCGTCCACGGTAGACTAGTCCAACAAACTTATCAGTGGAGTTGACCTACATTCGTTCGGGAGACTAACGTATTAAGAACCAACTGATCGATCGTTCAAGCGACATTTAAAGACGATACATGCAGACGCATTTAACAGACACGCTCGCGTGAAGATACTTTTAATAGAAACGCATTACACAGATTCAGTTTAATGCAATGATGCCTAAAGATGATACCGATGATGATGGTGGTGATGGAGCGACTAGAATAACCGCAATTTCTTTTTAGGTTTGGGACGACCGCGCTCTATGCCTTCTGAGAGCTTGCTGATGATGTAGTCGTAGAGGTGTTTCCAGGCGAGCTCCGCTTCCACTGTGAATTTGTCTCCCAGTCGCATCTTCAGACCGTCTCTGATGGCAGGCCATAGGAACTGGAAAACCAGGAACAAAGTATGACTAAAAAAAAAAAAAATACCAGGAAAGAGAACGAAAGAACGAACACACTTTTTTTCTTCAAAAGTGTTAAGATTTGGTCATGCAAGCCCGCATAACAGCACATCCTTACAGTCTCACTCCTTGCACAGTTTTTAATTCATACGTCCTTCCATCATTATCCCGTAACACTACGTGTCGTTGGGTCACCAGTTTCTGTTGACTGTCTGATCATCTCTCTCCACCTTTGGCGGTCAGTTGCGATGGACTTCATGGCTGCAGGCCTGAGGCCTGTCCAGTCAGTCAGGTTCTGTTACCAGGTCTTTCTTGGTCTGCCTCTTCTCCTCTTTCCCTCTACTGAGCTCTGCACTATTGTTTGTGAGAGGCCGTTAGATCTAATTACATGTCCATACCATTACATTCTTTCATGGGTAGTAATAAACATTCTCAACGATATCTAAGCATTAATTACAGACACAGGAATGTGCTCTAATTATACTTACATTATTAGACTAAAACACTGCCAACCAGACTGACATAAAATACAGAAGATAGACAGAAGAAGACAATAAATTAAGTACGACGGAGAATAGCAGGAAAAACAAGCAGAGGAAGAAAAAAGTATATGTACATAAGGAACGTAAACACCATCCTGTAGCAGGTGCTGTGCAAAACGCTGATCTCGTTAGGGCTCGCCAGAAAGCTACTCGGGTCGCCTGCCAACATGTCCACCTCATAAACTGTCATGCTCAGGGTATCTGTGTCCAGCTTTTAGACAATCAATTACTTTACCTAGCATCAAAACTTTTTTTTTTAAGTATCCAGAAGCCATGAGTTGTTAACTCTTAGGCTCGGTATTATGGATATCGCAACCCTTCGGCCTTGATTCCATGATAGATACCGTAAATCTGCGAGCAATGTGGCTTTTCTGCCTACCTCTGGGCGTGAACCCGGACCACAAGGAGTTTGTCACCCGGTCACCGCGCAATCCGATTTAGCCAACTACGCTAGCGAGCCGGACCATCACAACTTTAACTGGTGTCCTGCACGCAGATTGGCTTGCATCACTTGATAAGACCCTGCTCAGGAGCATGTCATGGATTTTCTATCCAGGAAATTCAGCTGTACAAGGTCAAGAGCAGGCTGACAGATTAGCTGCTGTCGCCCTTCTGGGCGGTGAGCTACAATATCAAAAAGCGAATGTGGCGAAGGCTCTGTGGGATCAAACAGACCGTGCAAAAGAACAGATAGGGAATCCAGACACTAAAAGACTTATTAAACGGGCGTGTGTGTAGAGGGTTCTGGAACATGTTCAACATTGAAGGGGGGAAACAGGTGAACTTTCAGGTTGCTACTCGTGCTATAGTATTTGCTTTTCAAGTTTTCAGTGGGTACCGAACACGGGGTCGAGGTCAAGACGGGAGATGTGAACCAGCGTCACTGTCCACTGTTATAAACCATAAGTGCTCTGCCACCAGTACGGAAAGCTGAGGAGCTGTGTCGCCGTCTGCACGCAACTCCGTGGCTACAGCGACGTTCCTCCATTTACCCCAGAGTGTTGACTCTAGTACCGATTTCCTAGAGGCTTGGTGAACTCCGGGAACCGCCCGGTTTCGAACACGGGCCGTGGGCTGCAGCGAGTCGCAGCTGGATTTGAAAGCGAGCCTCTTTTCGACTGCGTTAACGCGGCCCCCTCGAATAAGGGGACGGAAAACGTGTTGGAATGTCCGAATATACGGATTTAACCCTTGATTCATTCATACAGCCAGCAGTTTGACCAGACACATGCAAGCAACAATTTCCCTTCCTTCTCTTATCTCTTCCTTCTTTTCCTCCCCGTCCCCCTTATCTTCCTCTTTATTATCGTTGCCTTAAAATCGGTACCTTCTTTTGTAGAAACTAACGGTATATTTCATTAGCGTGCCAGGGCCACGAAACATTTCGAGTGTCCTCTCGGCCATTGTTTATGGGGCAATTTATTTTCCACAAGGAGGTCGCTAATACCCGGATCAATAGAGTGGAATAAATGAACAAGGCACGTTAACCAGGGCTGCCTATACTTGAGTTTTTCCCCTAGATCTGTTTTTTTTTTTTTTTTGGTTATTTTTGTTTGATGCCTTGGGTTCAGATTTTGGAGTCTTGATTTTTAAAAATAGATCCTTATATAAAAGTGGGTAAAAGTGTGTTGTTTCGAAACTATACAATTTGTAATTTTTTTTTTATTTCTTGGGTTTTTGATATTTTTGTTGATGTTTGTTCTTTGCTGATGTATTGCAAGTTTTTGTGGTCAGCTTAGTTTGGGTTTTGATAACAATTCAATTGGCAGACCTGGCGTTAACAGAGGCGTCTAGTGGGCAGATGGTCTTGCAGCTGCGGTAATGATCTTAGTTCCTTACTTGAAAACCACATCTCTTATTAACGTCTGTATCTCCGTTTGTGGGTTCCAGCGCGCCCCCCCCCCCGCCCCCTCCCCATTTTGGGACCAGGAATAGACCCACTGCCTCCCTATCATGCATGTCGTGAAAGGCGACTTAATTATGGATTTTCCTTTCGAAGACGCAGCTTATTTGCAATGGCGGGGGTGGGGGGGGGGGGGGGGGAGGAGGATCCAATATCTGTAAGACATAAGCAGATCTGTATAACGGATGTGCACGCAAGATTCAAGTTCTGACACAGGAGCGGACGAACAATCGAAACTATCCGCCGCAGTTTACTACCGGTAAATGCGAAAAAGGAGGGGGGGGGGGGGGGGAGAAGAAGAAAAACATTACTCTTGTCGAAGGTTCAGTTAGTAGAGATACCTTGTTGGATAGCTGCTATCTCATAAGACAAAGCACGGGGGGGGGGGGGGGGGGTGGGGGTAGAAGAACACTCACTACTCTTGTCGAAGGATCAGTTAATAGAGATACCTTGCTGGATAGCTGCTATCTCATAAGACAAAGCACAGCTGCTGGGGGGGGGGGGGGGAGGGGGGCCGGGGGTAGAGGTTCTGGAAGATATTCAGCATTAAAGAGGAAAACAAGAGGCGGAAATTTGAGTAATCATGTCACAACTGGTACTATTCGCATGTCAGCTCTTCGTTGGTTACCGGAGAAGGAGATGGAGCACGTGTGGGAATGTCTCGAGGGCAGTGATGTCAATTCTTGACTGATTCATTTATTCAATCAGAAGAAGACAAAACACACATGGGAATATCCAGTGGACAGTGACGTCAATTATGATTATATAGAATCATCATCATCACCATTACCATCACAACCACCATCATCTCCATTACCACCATCACCACCTTTATCATCGATTTCCATTTTCCTGCTAAGCAGTGGATGGATTATTATTGTATGGCTGATTTAGGTAGCAGTGACTATCGCCATTCTGTGTGCCTTATGTTCTCAGTGTCATCAATCAATCAGGACAGATCGACTTAGGGACTTTGATGTCAGGAGAGTCCGCACAGAACCAATAGTGAACATTATCGGTTGACAACAGATCAAATGGTTTGGTCATGCAACACGATTGGCAACAGACAGGACCCCACAGAGAGCAATGTTAAACAAATACAACAGTAAGAGACTGAGAGGTTGGTTGCGTAGAATATTGACCACGTAAATATTGGAGACATTGAAAAGTACTATTTACGAAGCAAACAAGAGGGCCCGTTCCAGGGATCTCCTGGTCTAACTGACGCTGCGAGGCATTCCAGGAGTAGAGAAAGGAAGAAGTCCATCTTTTTTTGCGTCATCTTACTCTCAGGTGAGATCTCAAGATGTGTGGTGAACGTGTTAACCAAACCATTTGTTCTACTGCTTTTCAAAGAATTCTGACGAGATAACCAAACCATTTGTTCTACTGCTTTTTAAAGAAATCTGACGAGATAAGAAAAACCATTTGTTCTACTGCTTTTCAGAGAATTTTGACGATATAACCAAATCATTTGTTCTACTGCTTTCGAAGAATTTAGACGAGATAACGAAATCATGTGTTCTACTGCTTTTCAAAGAATTCTGACGAGATAACCAAAACATTTGGTCTACGGCTTTTCAAAGAATCTGGTGCAAGGTGTTGTTCCCACTGCCCAGTAGTAGTAGATTTTTACCTCACCAGGACATCACACAAGCGATAAACACCCGATGACACAAAGTGCCACCATGTGGATGAGGATCACCCGTGGAGAGGTCCCAGAAACCGCGTTCAGCCATTAGACCACATTTATGGTCGGGCTATATTGTGGCCCCTGGCAAGAGCTAGAGTAGGGCTTCAAATAACGAATAATTGCATTTCATAAGGAGATGATGGGGTTGAATAATTATAAACCCACTGCCTGTCTGTGAGTATCATTTCTCACTAGGTCTCGGACGGGTAATCTAGTGACCTTTTTCGGGTGTCTCCTATTTCTCGCAGGTGTTAATTTAACATAACCGCATAACATAACATTCGGCAAGTAATGACTTACCAGAAAGTCGACGAGTCTCAACTTACAGGGCTGAATTGCCAACACAGTTTCATTTAAACTCCTAGGGGATTGACCTGTCATCACAGTTTATCTCCAACCCCTTAGTTATGGCCCCTGGTACTCCACAGGGGGTATTTATTCCCCCAACAGACACGTGTAGGCATTCTGCTGAGAAACCATTGACCCGGCTGCTTCGAGATACCAGCTAAGTGATTTTTGTGTATTTGTGTAGTATTGTTTGAATTGCATGTGGTGATAAAGGATCCATAGCCGCAACGTTCCCGTTTTGTTCGTATTTGTTATATTGTGAAGCTTGCTTATATCTTTTCCTCAACTTACAGGGAACATTTCTGGCCTGACGTTGTAGACAGCGTGCTTCTCTCCTAGTATCGTCAGCATCTCTGAGAAATGGGTGGAATCGTCTAAGTTGTCCACCGCCTGGCCCAGCTGTTTCATAACTAGCGTGGCGTGTTGCTCCAACCGGACTGTGTCGAATATAAACTCTCCGCTCTCTGTCTGAGTCATCAGTCTCCTGAACAGTTTCTTTAGGTCTTTCTCCATCTCAAATAGTCTGTGGGAAACGGACAACATAAGGAATTACATTATGTTATAAGCAAATACATCTTTTTATAAAAAATGAAGAATATTTTATATAATCATTCTTTGTCAAATGAGACAAAAAAGCGAATTCTTAAAAGTTGTATAAATCCTGTCCTGATATGAGTGTGTAAATCATGGACAGTTGGTAGATTAGTGAACAGTTATGCAGACTATTGGTTCCTCGCCTCTCAAGCAGACGCACTCGGACTTTGAAGAAAGCTCCCCTAATTAATAGCCTTGTAGAACATGCTTGTTAGGGAGGCAGTGGGGTCCCCCCCCCCACCCCCACCGGCCACAGAATAGGGTCCCGAAACCCACACTGGAAAGCAGCACTCAGGAACATAAGAACCTGTGTATGTAGAAGTAATGGTAAGCTATGATACTTTAGCAGCTGGTGAAACATCTGATTGGTTCGAGGTGCAAAAGGGGGGTGAGGCAGGGGTGCATTCTCTCACCATACCTATTCAATATATACGCAGAAAATATAATGAGAAATGTAAAAAAGGACCAGATTTGTGACAGTTATGATCCGGTCAAAATTGGTGGCAACCCTATTCCGGAACTCCGCTACGCAGATGACACAGTCCTCCTTTCGAACAGCGTAAAAGGAATCGAAAATTTAATATTGTCCTTCCAAAAGCACAGTGAAGATCAAAATCTGTTCTTGAATTAAAAAAAAAAAAAACGAAAATTATGTCCACAGATAAAACTGGCTGTCACCCAAAAATAACAATAAATGATGAAGAAATTGAAAATGTCACAAACTTTGAATATCTAGGCTCTATAATAAACAACAATGGAGACTGTTCGACAGAAATTAAAAGGAGGATGGCCATAGCAATGCAAAGATTGAACAGCCTTTACAGTCTGTGGTTAAGCACCAGCAAGGAGATTAAAATTAGAATTTTGAGAGCATGCATCTTCCCTGTGGCTACATATGGATGTGAGTCGTGGACCATCTCTCAGTCCTTGAGAAAGAGAATAGGGGCTTTTGAGCTGAAATGCTATAGAAAGATTTTCAGAATATCTTGGACAAAGAAGATGAGAAATATTGACATCTTAAAAGATCTGAACATCAAGGAAGATTGGCTAATAAACAGCATCCTTTCTCGAAAGCTGAAATATTTTGGTCATATCAAGCGCCACGACGGATTGGAAAAAAAATATAGCAGAAGGCATGGTACCAGGAAGGAGGGGCAGAGGCCGACCGACACGAAGATGGGCACAGGATATAAGAGACTCCTTGAGTGTGAAAGTTCATGAGGCGGGGGAACTGGCAAGAGACCGAGTTTCTTACAGGCAGACTGTGATAAGAGCGACGTTCTGCAAAGGACCTGCTACATGATGATGATGATGATGTTACTTTAAGTATCTGGCGGTAGACAATATAACTACAATTCAACTTACTGACATGATCCAAGCACGAAAACTTAAGAACCACTGTATATAGAAGTAGTAGTAGCTTCCTTTTTTGGGGTGTATTGGATGGAACCTATTACTCAAGTTATATCAATGCAACAGTGTTGGCACGTGACCCAAGCACCAGCGTTTGAGGACCAGCGGATGTAACAGTAATACTTTCCTGTGTTATTTCAGGTATCAGATGGTAGCACCACTCTACAGTAACGTGACGTTGACGAGAATGTATCGCTGTAAATGAGCGGCGTTAAGATGGTCCTGGGACACACCGTCAAATGTCCTAGATGGAGACTTTGATTTAGTGAGACTGAATAAGCCGATCATGTGCCTGTAGTGAGAAAGGTTGTTTTGTGTGGCTTGGCTTATATAAAGTAAAGAGGCGTCCGTGGCTTAGGCGTTGCGAGTCCGACTCGTAACCCAACGAACAGCGATCGAAACCCACTGCTGACTGCGTGGATTTTTATCATGGTATGGGGCTTCGCAGGTCGACCCAGCCTAAAATGGGTACCAGGATGACTGTCATGGGGAAGTAAAGACGGCCGGCGTAATGCTGACCACATTACCCACCCAGTGCCGATTGGTCTGTAAAAATATGGGACGCTCTTCCCATATACCCGATCCGCCTATGGCGTGAAAAAGGATCTTCACTTTTTTTAAAAACTTTTATATAAAGTAAAAGTTAAGGACCCTTTTTAAAGCTAGGGTATATGGTGCTAAACCAAATATATTTTGTTTTCTAGACTCGATGTGTGATGTGGTCAATAGTTTTCAAGACCTTTCTTAGACATTCTTGCGAAGTCAATATGGCAGGCCAAAGGGGGATCTTGATGTATGGGTAACACATGATCTATAATTGACTGCAAAAAAAAAAAAAAAAAATTTACGATGAGAAAGACAAAGAAAGAAACCGCTCCAAGGACGCTAAATGCATCACTAAAAGCCCTTAGCATTGACCCGAAGACATGGAAAGCTGCTGCACGCCACCGGACTGTATGGCGAACGACAATCCGAAAAGGCGCAACGACTCGCCCGGCATCTAGAAAAAGTGCAGCTGAAAAACGACAACAGGCTAGAAAGTTCAGTATAACAGACCCCGTTACCTACAGACAATGTTTCCTGCCCCTGTTGTGCTAGTTCCTTACGGACCCATACTGGGCTTATAAGTCACCTCTTGAATTCTTGAAGGATGAAAGACAGAGTTATTATCATCATTTATGATGGACGAACGACAACAACAATACTGCCCAGACTTGGGGCTATGGAGAGGAAGAATTGCAGTCGCTGTGGGCTGTGATTTCTATAGCACAAAACAACACTATCGTCCCGAAATACGGAAGGGTCACAACATACACCAAAACACACTAACAACGTTTCTTGTCAACAGTTTTAGCATGGGCCCAAAAATGAAAAAAAGTCTGTCGTGGTCGAACCGATGACCTTCGAGACAATCAACTAGGCACATCGCTCCAGTGGCTGTCCGCGTCTTTAGAAACCAAATTAAACCAAAGTAATCGTCTGCGACTTAGAAGCTATGATTGCAGCTTTATAATTCCGAACACCTTATTTTGATTCAGCTGTAGTTGATAAGGCACCAGACCGCTCTACTTTGATTTCGACAATGGCGTGGGCGCCGAACCGCCCAGAAAGCAAACCACCATACTCAGTTAAAAGGTCTTCACAGAACGTCGCTTTCCTCGCAGCACGCTTGAGAGTCTCTCTTTCTCTAGCCAATTCTCCAGCACTATAAGCTTTCATTGCCAATGCATCGTCAATGTCCTGAATCCATCTTCGTGGTGGTGTATATCGGCCTCGCTTTTTGGAAACTACACCCGCCATCACCGTTTTCATCAGGACACTACGACGCTTAACATGGCCAAAGTCGGGGAGCTTCGCCGAAAACAAACCACTTCACGTTAAAAGTTGCTTGATAAAACCAGAAGCAACTAACCAATATTTTGCGATGTTCGCCACGTCCTGTAAAAAAAATACACAGCTTCCTAATGCGGAGATTCGTCTTTCGATCCCGGCTACAGACGATTTGGCACAGGCCGTCTTGAATCAGAACCAAATCGGATTTTTTTTTTCTACAACAATTACATCTCCTTCCAGATCGACCCAGTCTAAAATAGAGAGCAGGTAAAGTCAAGGGAAGAAAAGGCAGCCGGCGTAATGTTGACACGGTCGAATTAAGACATGACGAGACCCTCAGCTATATAAAGTCCTAAGGGCTCTAGCGTTTCAAATTACGACAGTTTATCTCAGAAAACTTTAAAATACATACGGAAATATATTATCGTTTAATTTTATTTAAAAGAAATAACAAAGAATGGGTTTGCAGGAATTAAATTTTATAATCATATATATCTTAGTACAAAATATTATAAGAAAACTGCATTTGTGAAAAAAGAAAAGAATGAATTTTGTGAAGCCCTTACTAATTATAAGGCCCCTGGTAATTGTAAAACCCTAAGCTGCAGCTCTGTTTTAGCGTAAACCCAAATCTGGCACTGCATGTTGATCACAGCACCCATTGACTGCTAGTTGGTCTACACAAAAATGAGTGTGGCATCATATGCCTGGTTCCTGATCGATCTGTTTGTCCACCCCCACTCTGTTCCCCTCCCCGCCCGGACTGTTACCTAAAGGTTTACAGGTTAGTTAGACGTTAGTCTGCCCAAATAAAGTAGGTCACTTTTCATTTACAAGTTTGTTGGGCTGGTCGACTTTACTGAAAGTGACGGGTGTGTCCGGCTCTGTTGTTTGGTTTTTGCAATGTCTTGCATTTACGGTTTCCTTCCGCGAAAGAGAATGCCTGTGACACAGGTTACAGCACTCTCGGTGGGGGGGGGGGGGGGGTGGGGGGGGGGGGGGGGGGGGGGGGGGGGGGGGGGGGGGGGGGGGGGGTGACCCAGTTTCTCCATGTTTTTGGAGTGTTAAAAGCGCTGGCGTGCTGGAATATACAACACGCGATATCAACGGCACCTCTGAACTGTGTGCGAAGGTCACAGCACTCAGGAACTACTAAACAGAAGTGAGCTAGTGTGTATATGGGCGGGATCTGGGGAGTCTAACATTGAACTACCCGGTTTACCATATCATTCTGGGATTTAAAAAAAATCTGAATCTAGTTGGCAGACCAACAAGGCAGATCTCAGATATCCTGTTTAACATTCAAGGAAGTTAAAATTAGGGCACTCGAAAAGTAACGGTTATACCAGCCTAGCGTAACCTGCAGTACAGTAAGAAAATGGTCCGAAAACCCTCGCCAAGTCGGCAAGGCACTAGACGATAACGATAAATTAAAGGTATTAACATGACATAACATAAAAAAAAAAAAAAAAACCCGACATCTTTCTCAGCCTTCCGCTTGATAAAAACGTTTATAATTACTTAATCCGTCCATTTCTTGATATTGTCATTCCAGGTTCTTTGTCCTCCTCTTCTTCGAATACCCCCCTCCCCCATTCCCTCAATATTCTTTGAAGTACAGTCCATCGAACCATGTCACCACATGCCCAACCCAAGCTAGCTTGCGACGTTTCACCACTGCCAAGAGAAGCTCCTGATATCTTGCAAATTTATATATTTTGTCTCTGACATATTTATTAATTTTGTGTTCCAAAAAACTAATTCGTAAAATGTGTCTGTAGCATTTACATTCGAAAGCCTGAATCCCCCTTTCCGTTTCCACAATGAGAGTCCAACTCTTACATCCTTATTAGAATATTGGGCTATCCTCCGAATAACGGTCCTAAATTATCGAGGCGGAAAATATACCTTAATAGGGCTCCAGTCACGTGTCAATTGCGCACTTCCGGGGACAATAACGCCAACGCTGAATTGCGAACTTCCGGCAACTTCCGCCACCGCCGAGAGTATCCCCCACGCTGCTCACGCGGAGTAGATTGGGGCTAAACTAGATGGCTAGGACTCACGAGCAAATAAAATGAAGGAAGCTGCAGGAGATGCGGTAGCTATTGCTCGTGAGTCCCAGGCATCTAGTTTAGACCCCAATCCAGGGATACTCTCGGCGGTGGCGGAAGTCGCCGGAAGCGCGCAATTTAAGACGACGGAAGTCTGTTAGGGTATATTTTCCGCCTCGATAATTTAGAACCGTTATTCGGAGGATAGCCGAAAATAGACAATACCAGTGATTTGTAAATATTGACCTTGACTGTGCTCTTACACACTGTATTAAGCTGACTGACTAACTGACTTTCTACCCAAATAGGACATCACCAAGCGTATAACACCCTATGCGGACCATTTTTCATACGTTGGATGACAGTGGATCGCCGTGGAGAGGTCCCAGAAACCGAAACGTAAAAAAAAAACCACGATTGGCCATATTTATGGCCTGCCTATATTGCGGCCCCTGGCAAAAGCCAGGGTAGGGCTTCAAATAAAAAAAAAATTTCGTCCTTAAAAGGACATAGGGATATTTTAAGGCATAAATTCAGCTGCGACATCGCAGCTTTTATATGTTTTGGTATGGCAGTCTTCTCGGTATCTGTGGCTTTGGCGTTGCGAATGCGCTTCGTAATGCCGGGGTGCCGTGTTTAATCCCAGCTGCGGACCATTTTTCATACGTTGGTTTCGACAGTGGTACCGAGAGCTGACAGTTCAGTCAGCAATGGCAAATTACTGAACGTAAAAAAACCACAACAGCCAAAAAAAAAATGCCTGTGTTGGTTCTTCAACGTCCTGTAAAGGATAAGCAAAAAAATTAAATGGCAGTGTTAAAACAATATCGGTAAACGAGAAAAGGAGTTAGATTATTATTGTATAAACATTGCTACCTCAGTATACGTTCGCTCTGGTATACGTTCAGCTTGGTATACGACATATTTAGATTACAAAACCGTTGCTTGGTATACGACCTTTGTTTGGAATACGAAAGTGTATGAGTCAGAATTAGTCACGACATCGTGCGCTTTCTTTGTTTACTTTTCTCGAACCAAAGCCGCCGAGAGATGTCAAGAAATAGCATCCCCAAAAAAGCCGAAAACAAGCACCGTCTGGAATGACCCACAATGTCACGTTTTTGAACCATTCTAAGGCGAAGGCAGAAGCAAAGTTCTTTGGGTAGATTTTTTTAGTAAAAGTCAAACTAGACAAGCCTAAGCTAGGTCTCAGTAGCGAAAGGAGAGTGACAAAGACACCAGAAAGGAGAGAGACAAAGACACCAGAAAGGAGAGAGACAAAGACACCAGAAGGAGAGAGACAAAGACACTAGAAAGGAGAGAGACAAAGACACCAGAAGGAGAGAGACAAAGACACTAGAAAGGAGAGAGACAAAGACATCAGAAAGGAGAGAGACAATGTCACTAGAAAGGAGAGAGACAAAGACATCAGAAAGGAGAGAGACAATGTCACTAGAAAGGAGAGAGACAAAGACACCAGAAGGAGAGAGACAAAGACACTAGAAAGGAGAGAGACAAAGACATCAGAAAGGAGAGAGACAAAGACACCAGAAAGGAGAGAGACAATGTCACTAGAAAGGAGAGAGACAAAGGCACCAGAAAGGAGAGAGACAAAGACACTAGAAAGGAGAGAGACAAAAACACTATAAAGGAGAGAGACAAAGACACTAGAAAGGAGAGAGACAAAGACACTAGAAAGGAGAGAGACAAAGACACAGAAAGGAGAGAGACAAAGACACCAGAAAGGAGAGAGACAATGGCACCAGAAAGGAGAGAGACAAAGACACCAGAAAGGAGAGAGACAAAGACACCAGAAAGGAGAGAGACAAAGACACTAGAAAGGAGAGAGACAAAGACACTAGAAAGGAGAGAGACAAAGACACTAGAAAGGAGAGAGACAAAGATACCAGAAAGGAGAGAGACAAAGACACCAGAAAGGAGAGAGACAAAGACACCAGAAAGGAGAGAGACAAAGACACCAGAAAGGAGAGAGACAAAGACACCAGAAAGGAGAGAGACAAAGACACTACAGAGACAAAGGCACCAGAAAGGAGAGAGGCAAAGGCACCAGAAAGAGAGAGACAATGGCACCAAAAAGGAGAGAGACAAAGACACCAGAAAGGAGAGAGACAAAGATACCAGAAAGGAGAGAGACAAAGACACCAGAAAGGAGAGAGACAAAGACACCAGAAAGGAGAGAGACAAAGACACTAGAGAGACAAAGGCACCAGAAAGGAGAGAGACAAAGACACCAGAAAGAGAGAGACAATGGCACCAGAAAGGAGAGAGACAAGGACACCAGAAAGGAGAGAGACAATGGCACCAGAAAGAAGAGAGACAAAGTACCAGAAAGGAGAGCGACAAAGGCACCAGAAAAAAAAGGCAAAGGCACCAGATGAGAGAAAGAGAGAGAGAGAGAGAGAGAGACTGAGTGTTGCGTGCACATCTGTTTCACAGGTCTGAAATTTGCATGCAGACTGTTTGCTCCTTGCCTCTCCGACAGATGTACTCCGACTTCGAAAGAAGCTTCCATTCAGCCGACTCTCAACGACATGCTTTTGGGCAGGCAGCAGGTCTATTCTTGTTTTCTCCACAAAGAGGCCATGGAACCCCCACAGGGAACAACAACATCAAACATACATATATATAGACACACTTACACAGTTTTATCGACCCTTACCGTGTGAATATATGCAGTCCGGTTGCAGGAAGGTCAAGAGCCACAATAGCCCACGACTCTCGCACAATCTGGATCTCGCTGGGGGTCAAGAAATAGTCGACCTCTTGGCTGGCGACTTTGGTATTGGAATTTGTTGACGAGTTACAGCCCATGGTGTGGTCAGCGGTGGTCAGGGCTCAGGCACGCTGAAATAATTGAGGAAGGAACATCAGTGAGACCAAGGACTCCCTTTTCTACAACTTTAGGCATATTAAGCCATGGCCAGCTACAGATATAAGGCCGCATAGCTTAAAGGGGAATTCCCGTTTTTGTGAGGCTGGGGGGGTGGCCGGTCGGTAGTAACAATTGCTATTGAGTAGATTTATACACAAATTGAAACTACAGTTTAATTATTTGCAGCATGTGTTATTGAATGAACTATTATTTTAAAGATAAATAACTGGGCTATTAGAAAGTATTTAAAATGATAATTCGTTCAATAATGTGACGAGCTGGTCTGGACAGCTGCTCCTGCCCTTTTAGGTATTGCTGTGTACTAGTAATATTATTAAATTTTCTTACCTTTTTCTTATTGCTTAATTGTAGCAAAATTATAATTTAAAGAGTTGAAAGCTATAAAAGACGAATGATGAGTAGGCAAGGGGTAACTCAAGAGTTACTTCCTCATTTTTAAGGACTTCATATTTCCTGTTCAAATCAGAAATTTACCAGTTCAGACTAAAGTTAGAAGTCAGTCTGCGTCTAATTTTCTGTTTAAATTCCCTACCAGGGATGAGTGAAAAGAATAAGTTTAATTTGATCTATTGCTGCTTATTCCTCTGAATTAATTTCACAGGTTAAACTCTATGAAATTTGATGCCCACATGGCTTAGAAATCCTTGTGAATTCCCTGATCCTAACTAACCACGTTTATAATCTAGTATATACATGTATGCAAACATATGATCTATTTGATGATTGAAATAATGTTTATTTGATACTAAAAACGTGCATTGGTATTTTTAATTACTATAATTATATTAATTAAGTTAGAATTTATGTCCTCGTGTGAAATTAGGCACACAGGACAAGACCTATGTTTTATAGAACAATTGACACTCGGCATGGGAACGTGGTCAACATCACGCCGGCCGCCTTCACTTTCCAGGACTTCATCTTGTGCCCACTTAAGGCTGGGAGAGGGGGAAAACATGAGTAAGTAAGCAAGTAAAGGTCCCTTTTTACGCCACTGGCACATGGAGCATGTGATACTAGTCTCGTTTTTTTAGATTAAGCAGGCCTTCAGTGGGTGATGTGGTCAACAGAATTTTAGGCTGCGTGTACTTGAGAAACTAAGTTAAATTTCGGGAGGGAGAAACATACCACAGAAAACTCTACCTCAAACCATGCGGACCGGCAGGCAATCATTTAACTGCTACACTACAGCGGCTTTGGGAACATCAGTATGGTATTGCCAGAATTCAGCTATCTAAACATCAGTATGGTATTGCCAGAATTCAGCCGATATCTAAACATCAGTACGGTATTGCCAGAATTCAGCTATTATCTAAACATCAGTATGGTATTGCCAGAATTCAGCTGATATCTAAACATCAGTATGATATTGCCAGAATTCAGCTGATATATAAACATCAGTATGGTATAGCCAGAATTCAGCTGATATCTAAACATCAGTACGGTATTGCCAGAATTCAGCTGATATATAAACATCAGTATGGTATTGCAAGAATTCAACTGATATCTAAACATCAGTATGGTATTGCCAGAATTCAGCTGATGTCTAAACATCAGTATAATATTGCCAGAATTCAGCCGATATCTAAATATCAGTACAATATTGCTAGAATTCGGCTGGTATCTAAACATCAGTATGGTATTGCCAGAATTCAGCTGATATCTAAACATCAGTATGGTATTGCCAGAATTCAGCCGATATCTAAACATCAGTACGGTATTGCCAGAATTCAGGTGATATCTAAACATCAGTATGGTATTGCCAGAATTCAGCTGATATCTAAACATCAGTATGGTATTGCCAGAATTCAGCTGATATCTAAACATCAGTATGGTATTGCCAGAATTCAGCTGATATCTAAACATCAGTACGGTATTGCCAGCCGAATTCAGCTGATATCTAAAACATCAGTACGGTATTGCCAGAATTCAGCTGATATCTAAACATCAGTATAATATTGCCAGAATTCAGCTGATATCTAAACATCAGTATGGTATAGCCAGAATTCAGCTGATATCTAAACATCAGTATAATATTGCCAAAATTCAGCTGATATCTAAACATCAGTACGGTATTGCCAGAATTCAGCTGATATCTAAACATCAGTATGGTATTGCCAGAATTCAGCTGATATCTAAAACATCAGTACGGTAACATCAGTACGGTATTGCCAGAATTCAGCTGATATCTAAACATCAGTACGGTATTGCCAGAATTCAGCTGATATCTAAACATCAGTACGGTATTGCCAGAATTCAGCTGATATCTAAACATCAGTATGGTATTGCCAGAATTCAGCTGATATCTAAACATCAGTACGGTATTGCCAGAATTCAGCTGATATCTAAACATCAGTACGGTATTGCCAGAATTCAGCTGATATCTAAACATCAGTACGGTATTGCCAGAATTCAGCTGATATCTAAACATCAGTACGGTATTGCCAGAATTCAGCTGATATCTAAACATCAGTACGGTATTGCCAGAATTCAGCTGATATCTAAACATCAGTATAATATTGCCAGAATTCAGCCGATATCTAAACATCAGTATGGTATTGCCAGAATTCAACTGATATCTAAACATCAGTACGGTATTGCCAGAATTAGGCCGATATCTAAACATCAGTATGGTATAGCCAGAATTCAGGTGATATATAAACATCAGTATGGTATTGCCAGAATTCAGCTGATATCTAAACATCAGTATGGTATAGCCAGAATTCAGCTGATATCTAAACATCAGTACGGTATTGCCAAAATTCAGCTGATATCTAAACATCAGTACGGTATTGCCAGAATTCAGCTGATATCTAAACATCAGTATAATATTGCCAGAATCCAGCTGATATCTATCAAAGTAACTTAACACAGTGCGAATAATGACTTGGAAGCCTAACAGAGGTAAAGGAAGGAGAACGCGCAAAACTACAACGGGACGTTTAGACTAGAGTCTTTAGAAAAAGAAAAACATTCAACAATAAAAAAAAAATTTAAACCGTCCCCCTTTCCGCACCCACAACACGCACCCCCCCCCCCCCCCCCCCCCACCTCAACCACCAACCCGAAATGATTAAATAAAATAAAATAAAATAATAAAAAAATTAGGACACGAAGATAAAAACAAATCTCATCGTCATCATTGTCATCCCTTAACCCTACGTGTCGTTGGGTCACCAGTTTCTGTTGACTGTCTGATCATCTCTCTCCACCTTTGGCGGCCAGTTGCGACGGACTTAATGGTTGCATGCCTGAGGCTGTCCAGTCAGCCAGCTTCTGTAACCATGTCTTTCATGGTCTGCCTCTTCTTCTCTTTGCCTTTACTGAGCCCTGCAGTCTATGTTTTTGAGAGGCCGTTGGATCTTATTACGTTCATATCTTTGCATTTTTCTCCTTTTCACGGTAGTTAAAAGAGGTTCATAGTTGCCAATGTATACCAAAATAAATATGCAGAATAAAATTTTTTTCGAGGTGCATTTCTGCGCGTCCTTTCTTTTCCCTGTATTGAGCTGTCATCAGTACGTTCCAAAAGTCTTGCCTAACTTTAACAACCTGTAACCCAAATGTCGTTTGGTGTAAGATGTTGACATTTCGCATGTAACCTGTCAATAATCCTGCCTTTGTAAGAATTTTTTTAAAAGTTAAATATAAACAGACATCTAATTTTTTTTAAACGTATTTGCAGTCTATAAAAAAACAGACACAGATTAAAGACAAACATTCAGTGTGCTTACAGTAACTTGAGTAAACTAAGCGAGGAGAACTTTATGAAACATCAGATTGCACGCGTTTCCCAAACGTTTTACTTCCAGGTAGTCATCTCCAGAACTGGTCTTTCGTGAGATTTGTCATTACATGCAGGATATGCTATCAAAATAATCACCACACATCGCTGCACGTGTGGGCTGATTTCCAGACAATCTCCACACGTGTGTAAGTTACTATATATTATTTTTTTAGGGTAAATATCTTTTTTAGTCAAACAAAGATCAAAGAAATTCGCAGCTTTAAGAAAGAAAAAAAAAAAAAAAAAAACCCCATCGGTACAATTGTAAATTATACGCCATAATGACACGGGAAATCTAACGCCACATGCAAAAGTTCGTGTCAATCGATACTCAAGATATTGAGTTAATCAAAACTCAAGTTATTGAGTTAAACACGACTCAAGTTATTGAGTTAAACAAAACTCAAGTTATTGAGTTAAACAAAACTCAAGTTATTGAGTTAAACAAAACTCAAGTTATTGAGTTAATCAAAACTCTAGTTATTGAGTTAATCCATACTCAAGTTTTTGAGTTAAATCAAAACTCTAGTTATTGAGTTAATCCATACTCAAGTTATTGAGTTAAATCAAAACTCTAGTTATTGAGTTAATCCATACTAGTTATTGAGTTAATCGAAACTCAAGTTATGGAGTTAATCCATACTCAAGTTATTGAGTAAATCAAAACTCAAGTTCTTGAGTTAATTCATACTGAAGTTATTGAGATATTTGTTAAAATTTGTTGCATCAGTTTTGAAATGCACTTGTATTATATTTGTATTGTATTACCCTACGTCTCGACATAAGCTCGATTGCAGTCACCGCTATGTTCACTTTCATTTAAAACGGTTCGCTGTTTGAGTGTTAAATGTTGAATTAAGAATTGACATCATAGACATCAGGACACCCCCCTATAACTGCCCCGACCCCATCTTCAGCAGCAAACGAAGAGTTCAAAGTCCGATGGCACCAGTAACTGTCTGATTGTATATCCGTTTGGCCTTTCCCTTGAGTGTTGCGCATCAGCCAGATCCCCTGGCAACTATTCGCAGCGCCATTCTTCTCAGACCGTAATGATCTATTTGCACTTCCGCACTGTTCAGTGGGTCCTAGAGAGCCCTCACAACATCTAGCTTGTTATACATCAGTTCA